TAGGCCTATCTTCCCCGTACAAGTGAAGGCAACTCTTAATGAGCTCACCGATCTCTTGAAGTTGCTCAATATCTCCTTCTCTTACAACTCTATCATCAAGAATTTGTAATAAGCTATTATTTTTTCATTGATGATACAAAATATTCCACCAAACATTTGTCCTCGTCACTTGTGCCCCTCAAAAATAGGTTTCATCCCTGTTAAAAGCTCTGCAAGAACTACTCCAAAACTATCAACATCACTTCTGTCTGTCAATGGACCTGTATGGAGATATTCAGGATCTAAGTACCCTAACGTTCCTTGAACCAATGTAGCAACATGTGTTTGTTCAAGTGAGACTAATCCAATAATCATCCAATAATATTGGTAGATTTGACGTCTCTATGAATTATTGGCATGGATGCAGATGAATGAAGATAAGCAAGTGAATTTGCAGTCTCAGAAGCAATTCTCAACCGATTTTGCAAAGATAACCAACGCGCTCCATTTTGGTTGTTGATATGCTCAGAAAGAGTTCCATGAGATATATATTCGTAAACCAGTAAGGGAACTTCAGCTTCCAAACAACATCCAAAGAGTCTAACTACGTTTCTATGGTTTACTTTACTTGCTTTCTAGTAGTTTTCAATAAAGACTCGAAACTATTCATTGTCATGAAAATTTCTAGTCACACCCTTTTCACTACATGTAGATTTATTTTGACTAGCCGGGAAAAGGGTCCGACTACTAGTTGAATTTTTGTGTGCAACAGTGTCTAGTTTTTAGTTGCATTCTCGTTTTCAACTTGCAAAACCCGCTGCCCAAAATTTTCAACATCAGATGTATCCATTGGTTTTTGTCCTGAATCCATTAATTTTGCCCTGAACCAACTCGTGGTGCATCAAACCCAACTCTTGGTGTTCTCCTTGCGTTTTTAGTTGCATTAGACATCAAATTCAACCCAACTTCTTCTGATTGCACCTCATTAGTAGCAGTCTGTTGGTTATTGCAATCATGATCACCTTCGTTTTCAGTAGTTGTTTGAACACCAATGTTACTTGTATCAACATCCATTGAGTCTGCAGGATTTTGCTCAGAAGTGGTAGCAACCAATTGTCGATCTAGAGAAATAGCTTTACGTTGATCAACTTCTACGATCTTTCCTTATTTCTATCGCATCACCTTGATACTTTTCACTATCAATAGTACCTTTTAAAGCAACTTAAATGGTATCATCAATTTGTTTGTTAATTTGATTTTCTTTTTGAAATGAAACGACAACTATCTTCATCTTGACCTTGATGCTTACAAAAATTGCAATACAAAGGTAGATTATCATATAGAATCTCCAGAAAACTGCAAGCTTATACGATTTGGAAGCTTTTTCATTATATCACATATAACCTTGACCCTAGCCGTGCTAGTTCTTGACTCGATTTCCTTATGGGTGGACCCGATTCAATAATTATTTTCCAACAGATAGAAACAAACAAAGGAGATAAGGCAGAACAATTTTTTTGAGTGTTTAATTTATTCTTTAGGAATCAGTAAAAGTGTTTAAATTTGTTCTATTTGTGATGGAGAATTTTCCAACTGTCATAGATGTAGAGGAATAATGGAGTTCAACCAAACTTAGAATATATTCCTTAATCAACCACTTTACCAATAAGCCATCCCTTTATTGCTTGCTCTTACAACTCTAAAAAATTTACACATAACAATCTGTTCCCACACACATTTACAACTCTTACCTTTTGGTCCGCAGTTGATGTGGTTGCTCCTCTACTCGTACTGTTGTGAATCATGCAGAAATCGTTCGCTCAAAATCTCGTAAAACTATCATCACTACCACTAATTCTTGTTCTCATCTTCTGTTGTTTGGTTATGATGGTTTCAGCTAGAGGTAACTCTTTTGATACTAGTTTAGTTGCAAAGCTATATTTAAACTCCGTCTATTTCAGTTTGTTTGTTTGATTTTGACTTGGACGAGGTTTAGAGTAGTAAAAAGAATACTTTTAAATCTTCTGCATCTTTAACTAAAAGATAAGTAAAATGTATCAAATAGAGTTGTCGTTTAGTTTTAGATATCCTTTGGTAATTCATTTGTAAAGACATTATTCAGGCTCTCATGTGACTAATCCTGGTGTTGAGTCTGATGACGATGCTATGAAGCAAGACGAAACATCATTGAGGAAACGATTAGAGCCATTGCATCGCGATACAGAATACAGACTAGTAACAGCATCTCAGGAGCTGGAAATGGAATTAGCAGCTAATAAGTCTAACAAGACGTGGTTATGGTCGCAACAACAACAGCCTTTTCAGCTGTGTCTGGCTTGCAAGTGTTGTGTGTCCGCGGCAGAGGCAGAGGCAGAGGCAGAGACAGAGCCCAGCAACTGTACAAGTTTGCCTTGTTGCTTTGTTATAGATTGTCAACTTCCTAATAAGCCTTACGGAGTTTGTGCTTTTGTACCTAAGACTTGTAATTGTACCTCTTGTGCTACTCCTCTGCTCTAAGCCTAAACTAGACGTATTTGTAAATTTATGAATTTCTTCAACCTATCTCATGTTGATTGTGATTGGATTTAGAGTCAAATATCTATAAATATTTTGTTGATTTCTTAACATATATGTACATAATACACCGTATGTAGAGTTCACGTGAACGCGTAAACGAGCTGTTAGATCCTCCCCAGCTACCTATCAATACCCTCTTTACTTTCATCCCAGAACTCAAGCAAACTCAATAACTAAAATGTCATGTTTTTATACCTAAAAAAACAATTAAAATTTAATAATTCTCTTTTTACCCTTAAAAATATATGAAGTCATTTCTAGTGATACAAATTAATAAGTATTTTCGACTATAAATTTCAAAACATAGTAGTAGGATGCATGTAAGACTCCAATTAACACATAAAACTTTTAATTGATTCTTGAAATTCTATTGATGTCAGATAAATTAAAACTACGCAAGTACCTTATATCATTTGAAAAATAACAAGAAAATCATAATAACTAATAAATTAAAATATTTGAAAAACATATAAACATTTTGGTGAACTCTTAAATTTTTATATGTGTCACTTAAATTAAAACACATAAACTAATTATTTATATTATTTCAATATAATACACAAAATATATTATAAATTAAAATAAATAACTAAAAATATTTTAAAACCATATATAGATTTTTTTGAATAACTTTCTAAATTTCAATTATGTCACATAATCTGATATCTAGTGTTTTAAGATTTAGTTTCACATCTTAAGCCGCCCTAGTGGTAATTTATTACTTTATGAGGAATCCACCTTCAGTAAAGACAAACAAGAAAACAACAACAAATGCTCAAGCGGTATACAAGATCAAAAATAAAGCATCAGAGGTTTTGAATTTGAGCCATAAATGTTAAAAAAATTAGTAGAGAATGTTATTCTCTGAATATAGAGCCTTATCAAACATGAATCCAAATTAACCAAATTTCAATATAGATATTGAATATTGAATGAAATTCTTTTTAAAAAAAAAAACTTATATAGTAACATTGGGCTTAGATATTCATAAACATATCGTTCAAATATTTACTTCTTTTGTTCTAAATTATATGATATTATATTTATTTATTTGATATTTAAATTACAAAAAATTTTACTATTAAATTTATAAAAAAAGATTTACTATAGTGACATGAAAAATAGTAATTTATAATACTTTTTGAATATTTTTTTAATATTTAAATTTTAACTTTAAAATATTCAATTAATGTAATTTAATTTATCTTTTAAGAATTATTTTACTTTTTCACTCTCCACCAAAGAGTTTTCTCTCATTTTACTCTTTTGATAACTTGAACACATAACTTTAAATTTGAAAATAATATAAAATTTATATCATTCGATCAATTTTCTTTCGTCAAACTTAACTATCGAGAGAAATATTCTAGCTAATTGGCGTTGGTAAGAAAGCAGGACGCTATATAAGCACATAGACTTATATTAAATTTATAATTTTATTTTACTATATCAACATGAAAAAACTGGTAATTTATATAATACTTTTCCGGTGGTTTAATTGTAATAATTGGCTGGTAATTAAGGTTGCCATGCATGTTACTTTTATTGTGGTGATATTGTTTAACATTCAAATATCTATACTTTTATTTATTATATTATATATATCTTCTATTCATTTTTTTTTTACGCGCGAGTTTTTTTTTTATGAGTCAAAATATGTGTAGATTTTTTTTGATAATGGATGATGGTGAGATTCAATTATAAAATATTTATTTACTCTTATATCATGTTAAGAAATGTATTTTACATTTTACTCAATTATAATAACTAACTTGAAAAGCGGGGATCACTAAATCATGTAAACATACCACACATCCTATTAGAATAACGGAATTTTCAACACCCTTACATATTTAGAGCTAAATATCTAAAACGTGAACAAAATAATTAAGAAAGCAAACATCGAGAAACTAAGAATTAGATGCGCTTATTTTGTCTCCTTCAAAAATTTAGGGTGGGGAGAGAGAAATGAGAGAGTGAATTACAATATGAAAAATCGAATTCTCACCAATAGAGTGAAAATTCAGGTATTAACCAACTAACTAAGCTACTCATATTCTTTCGTATGAGCCTAATTAGGTTAACTTTTTATGTTTTCTTTCTTTTTTTAAACCTATTTTTTCGACCAAGATATATAGGGGGATTACTCTTCCAATGGGCAACTAACCTATACCATTAATCATTATTTGATTAATATAAACTATAGAGAGATCTATATCCATATTATTATTATTATTTTATGTAACTAGGAATAATGGAAGTGGACTGTAAGGCCAGCTGGCCCTACCTCAATTTGATCCTGATATTTAACATTGTTAATAACCACTTGACTTAATACCATCCACTAATAATTTCTTATCGCTAATTAAACAAATATAGGTATCTCTTTCCACATAAATACATTACTTCTTGTAGCATGACCAATAGTCTTCCAATTAACATTCTTAATTAGAATAGTTAATTAATGTTTTGCGTACTAAGTTTATAACACATTCAAACGCGACAAAGACTCGTCATCTTCCACTATGTTTAGATCAAAGAGATTATATATATATTAATAATTATAATCTTGTTCTAATCTAATTATGTTTATTAAGAGATCAACAAGGGCAAGCATACTACAACCATCTTACATGTCAAAAATTCATCCTTCATATCATCCTAAAATTTTGCGACGCAAGCGTCTTGTTTACAATAAAGACGATGATGGCGAATATAACAATAATAATCGTCTTCTTCCTCCTCGTGTAATAACAAGTAGACCACGAGTTGATTCTCCTTCTATTTTCACGGTTTGGAAAAAATCGAGTATGAGTTTCCAAGGTACGGATGGGTTCACGGTGTTCGATAAGCAAGGGAGGTTAGTTTTTCGGGTTGACAACTATACCCGAAGGAAGAACCGGGCCATCGCTAGCCGCGGTAGCCGATCCGGTGGACTAGTACTCATGGACGCACAGGGTAAACCTCTCTTAACATTGAGACCACAGGTACATAGAACAAACTATATATTATAGATTCATGTAAACTATGTTTAATGAAATTTACTGATAAATTTAAAAGGCTATAGACATTCAATCATTACCAATCATATATATCTTTTATATTTACAGATGAACGCGCAATTACAATACGAATGGAATGGATATAGAGGAGGAGAAGATGATGATGGATCCACTCCTTTATTCGTAATGAGAAAACCTCCATCATCTTTGTTTGCGATGATGGGAGCAAGCATGACGACTACGTCATGCCAAGCTCAAGTATTTGTTGGCATGGACATGAAAAAGAAGCCAAATTACAGAGTAGAGGGTTCTTTTCGTAGGCGAACTTGCAACATCACAAATTCAGATGGCCATATTATAGCAAATCTATCGCGAAAAGTAGCTAATGCTACTACTCACACCACTATTTTGATTAGCGACGATGTTTTTAGCTTGATGATACAACCAGGATTTGAACCTCACATTTTTATGGCTTTTGTTATTATTTTGGATCGTATGTATCCTAACTCATACACTCCCCTTATTTGTTCTGAATGTAATTGATTTTTATCTCTATTTGCTAATTACATTGCCTTGTTAGTGATCTATCATCAACTAGGGGTACTGTACATGGTCGGGTTGGTTCAGGTTTTTCAAATATCAAACCAAACCATTTGAATTGTGTTTAATTTTCTGAAGTAGAAAGAACTAGATGATCTCCGTCTCTTATCACTGCAATGTCCTCAATAAGTGCTCCGTCTTCAGTTAGTACTTTAGTGAGAGAGATGTGGAATTTCTCAGCACCGATATCAAGTATCTCTTGTATTGAATTTCTTTAACCATATTGAAAAATGAAGTACGATCCAAGCGTAGCAGTTGAGATATTCTTTTGGTTCTAACAGTTAAAAGTTGAGGCTTACAACAAACAATACCAACTTCTCCACAAACATCCCCTGCCTTCAACTACCTGATCCATACCATTCCTGTGTGATATAAGATCCACTGCTCCATTTACGAGGATGTAGAGATCCGTAGATGCTTCATTTTGCAAAATGATATCCTCTTTTGGAGGGAAATACTCAGCCTTCATCTCAGAAACCAGTTGAAAGAGTACGTCATGTGATACCCCGTGGAATAAATAGGCCTTATCCACCTATGAATAGAATAAATGATGTGAAATGGCAGATCGAATAGCTCTAGGTAATGTTTCAAGAATTTCTTGCTGCTGCAGACCTACTGTATCTGTTCTGTGCATCATTGACAAGTGATCTAGCATCTGTTCTTCAAGTCGAACAGGCAGATTATTCTTTTGTGCAAAGCTTGAATAGCATCCCTAAATTTCTGCGTCTTATTGTTTCCATGTACAACCAAGTTAGTCATGTTTCCAATAAGATATATGCAGTCAGGCCGAGGTCAAATAGCATGTAAACCATCATTTCCTCTGTAGCAACCGCGTGTAAGTCCCCATAGCCGGTTGTTGTAAGAGTTGTAACGGACCAATCCATAGACATTACATAAGGACTCCAGATACTCCTATCATGAAGATTTCCCAGTGAAAGCCATGTTTTACTAATGTCATTAATTCGAGCAGCAAGAAAGTAGTAAAAGCAGCCAGCAGAATGAACAGCAAAAAGAGTGACACATACAAACTAAGCTTGAGTACTCTTAACCCCAAAGTAACTCAACTTGTTGCTTTTCTCCAATTCAACAAACATGAAACTGACTCTTCTAAGACGCCAGAGACGAAGCATCCATATGATTGAAGAACGCAAGGCAATGCTTCGTAAGGGATAGTGGATATGAAATCAAAGATAAATCCATGTTTTTATATACCTCAAAGCAATGCACTTTGGGTCATCAATCATAGTGTAAGTTGATTTAAATGTCAAGATTATATTACATATTACGTTTTTGGAAGCTTTTTTAATAAACTCAAATATTTTCCGCGCAATCCTTTTCCTTGTAGGACTGTGACACGCATAAATTAACAGGTCCTCTGTTTTCATGATAATTGATTTAAATAATTATTTCCCAAGAATATTTATTTATTATTAATAACAATTTAACTGACCATTGAAAATATATATGTGATGGTGAAAAAGAAAAACTTTTACGATTAACATGGCATGTGATGATTATACGTGTATTCATATAGAAGGAACACAATATAACTCTGGAAATAATAAATTTGAGAGTTAAATAAATTTATGAGGCAAACAATCCAGTGTACAAATAAACTAGACAATATAGATCAATAATTATATCAACAACTAAATAATAAAGGAGCTGGTATTCAAAATCTATCTTAGATATCAATAAAAATCACATATATCTCATACATTCAAACACATGCAACATAAAGTATTAAGTTCTGTTCATCTTTGAAAAATGCATCAAACAGAAAAACCAGAAGACAATTATTTTTCTCAAATTGACAAGGGTTTCTTATTTTTCAAGTTATGCTCGAGCTTTGTCAAAACAACATGATTATCACTTCACTGAGCCTGAACTAAGTTGATTAGTTGCAACAAAGCTACGCACATAATTCTCAATCAATATGGAGACAATCGATGTCAATAAATCAGCTTGTATTTATGTTTATCTCTAACCTTTTCCAATCAACTGTTCCATAAACCAGTGCCCCTAATGGGACATGTTGTACATCATCTCTCCTCAGTCCTCAACTTTTTAGCCGTAGAACCATTCAAATCTTTCTTGCTTGTGTTACTTAACTTTAACAGTAGGTTTACTGTTGTAGTGGATGAAACTCAATTAACTCAGCTCGTTGATCGACATTTCTTTTGGGACCTTTAAACTTAAATTATTTGTATCCCATCCAGCATCACTTAGTTGTTGTAATAGATCAGGAAATCTATCTCTCAATTCGACCAAGCTCTGTTCAAGTCGGTCAAAGATATTATCTGACCAGCCCCAGTTTTGATATAGCCAATAGGTTTGCCATATACTTCGAAAAACGGATAGGCTTGAGGCTCCTTCCTGCGGGGAAGTGAGAAGAGACGTAAGCATTGCCAGTGAAGTGAGAGTTCTGTCTTAACTAGATTATAATTAGTGCATACCTTGAAAGATACAAAGACCTGAAAATCCGCTGCCTTCTGTTCATTTACTACAAGAAAATAGTTTTCCTCCTTGTACATATGAATGAGTTTCTTGATTTGCTGCAAAGAATGAATCAAACATCACCTTTCAAGAATACAGTCACAATTATGATTTCTTTAAATCGTTGTACGAATCCAAAAGTTCTCTGATTTCGTTTGGGACAAAGAAGGCTACACCTTGGATCTGTATTTGCCCGCATTGATCATCTCCTCCAAAGATATCTCAAAAATAATTCGTGGCCTTAAGAATCTTTCCCACAATAAGATGCTCTCCATCCTATTGCATTCATTGATTCCTGGTCCACATGGAGTAACAGGCCTGACTTACCCTATAGAGTTGAAGATTTCAGAGAAAGCAAGACTGATTTTACCTGGGACTGTACAGTGTAAAACATGAGAGTTCACTAATATGCGAGCCCGTTTGAGATTTATCTGCACAAAAGCACAGTAACCAGAATTCAACAAGCCAAGGAAAATTCAGAAGATTGTTGCTTAATTCAAAATCCTTGTTTCGTTATCGTTTTTTGTCCTCGCTTAGCTGTTTCCTATATCTGAAGAAGGAAAAACTTTCACAAATCTGAGAGAACCAATATATCAGACAATGGGGACCCCTGTTCTGGTCTATTAGATAGATGATTTATCTCTTGCTATTAACTTATGCTCAGGGACCAGGGTCGAGAAAAAAAAAAGATGATGAAGAGAAGGCAAAGTGTTCAAGAATTTTAAATATTACTTGATAGTAGTGCCAAAAACATTTTGTGGCAAGTCAAAATGGCTATTCGGTATATACTGATAACTAAGAATAAAGTCTCACCGTGTTGAATTGCAGAACTGAAAGAGACTGATAGCGAAACCAAAGATGTAGGATCCGCACACTTAACCATGTTAATGCCAATGTAGGATAAGACTTTGAGATACCAGGTGTATCCTGCGGTATATTTTCAGAAGAAAAAGTAAGATATACATATGTTATTATGGAAAAGATGAGGATTAATTATATTGGTCGAGGACCCTTAGAAAGTTATCATTTGATGTGACAGACGTAGATTGAAACCATATAAATAAATATATGTCATACCAAAGCTAGTATGCCGAGAGAAAGACCTAGCAGCTCAGCTGCTACTTCCCAGACTTCCTCCTGTCATCAATATTAGGTTATCCGGAAATGTTACAAGGAGAAATCCGTAAAATGATCAAACAAAAGAATTGAGAGAGTGAAAGGTCAAAAACACACCTGAAGTATCCCGGTTATTTTACCTTTCACTCAAATAATTATAATATCAATAATTAGGGCTATGTCATTCCAATACCAGAAAAATTATCAATAACACTTTCTCTTAAGTTCAGCATAATAATTATAATATCAATAATTAGGGCTATGTCATTCCAATACCAGAAAAATTATCAATAACACTTTCTCTTAAGTTCAGCATAAATCATTTAGGGAGATACAGATCTCTAACTAGAACTTAAAGTTAGATTATTTTTACACTGGTCATCAAACTACCAAGACCTTCCTTTATCCGAGCTTGAAACCATTAATAATCTTACGAGATACCAAAATACATGCACAAACTTGTAAATTGGAGCATTCAATGAAACTACACATCGGCCACCCTATTGAAGAAAGCACCAAGGGATAAAGAATACGGAACTTACAAATTTAACACATTTATGGAGTTGAAAAGGCTATAGTTACTATAACTATATTTATTGATTCACCACAAAAGCTCAGTCACTGCAGATATAAAGAAAGGAAAGCATACCAGCATATAACAACCGTGCTATTGAATTCAAACATCATGCTAATATCAAACCCGGCAAGTCCAGTTCACTAGATCTGATCTATGGCAGAAATATTCAAGTAATACCTTTGCTGCTACGTCTCCCAAATTTCCAGCGATAGCAAAGTGGTTTTGTATAACCCGGAATGAAGGGTCCTTTAGCCCCCTTGCTACAGCCTACTTAAAAAATACCAAAAATTGACTTAGGATATACATCAGATTCATAGAGAACTTCTACACAAAGTGTATTGCTTATGGAATCATTTCCTAGGGATGCATGAAGACTAACTATATATTTTATTAGCTAAATACCTTGGCAAGATTTCCAAGAGAAGCTAAAGGTAGGAAATAAGATGGATAGAGAGGGGTACAGAGATCAAATATACTGCAAAAAGAAATCAACGTCATCAGTTCACTAAAACCAATAAACTTTGATGTACCCAAGAAAGACAAATATTTGTGATACCTTCCTGCACTACCAATGAAATCTGCATACATGCGCCATTGTTTGGGATCATCATCAAAAAGATTGCCAAACCGTCCACCTGGAAGACATCAGCCTTTACTAACAATTTTAATCAGATAGGTCCTTAACTCTGTTCTTATACTTATTTTAAACTACCAGACCAATGAAAAAGCGTCCAAGGGCACCAATTCCATCCTTTGAAACCCATCTGCAAAAACAATAGGACAGCCACTAAACTATAGTGCATGCTATGAACTTAAAAGCACAATGCTATCCAAGTTTTCGAGTAGCAATCAGCATGAATTATAATAACATATGAGACAAATATTGAATTCCTTAAAGTCAAGGCCACACTGCGTGAGATAAAAAGCTGATGAAAATGAACAGTACCTGATGGCAGCAGCTGAAGCAGCTGCGGAAGTTCCGGAAAAAGAGCCCACTCCAACCGCCTGGATGTTAATATCAATCAGTACAGGATGAGTCCGAATCAAACTGAAAGCATGTGGGCATGGATCCAACTATCATAAAATATGTTAGCAACTCCTAAGCCCAATATAACTTGGACAGAGTGTAATAACATGATTCACAAATATACATGAGACCGAACGATTTGTAAGTTAATTAAGTAAAACTATATAAGACTCTGTTTCAGTAGTTTGTCAATGATTTCCATTTAGAAGGTCACAATCCTGGCAAGCAGTTGCAGGTTTTACAAGCACTTTAACATACCCAAGTGGAACTAACGGCCTGAATAAGATTGACATGCCTTTAAGAGACTTGAAGTCACCAGCGTGTGACAGATCCATCCAGTTACATTGGTTGGGAACTGAAGCAACATGTAGTCCAAATAATCATCTGAAACTGTATCTGCAACGATAGTTCATATAAGACATCTAAAGAACACCTATGTCCCCTTCATAACAAAAAATATAAATGGTCAAACAGGCGCTTAGCATGTAGGAATACAAAAACTAGAAATATAGTGAAAAAGGAAATAAGAAAGAGAAGAAGAAAATGGAAACAAACAATATGATGTTTGTTACCTGGGAAACCAGATGGTAACACAAAATCCTTGATAACCTTAGGGAGCCAAGATAACTCCATGCCAGAGATATCAAGATCTTGGGATCTACTAGTTGTGGGTACATGCTCCTCAAGAAACATTTTCATTTCAGAGTCATTGTCTATAACATACCTATCCATAGAAATCAATACTAACATGGTCAAACAGTTGAGAGACCAATAAGTATTCATGTCACTTTGCAAAGATGAAGTGCTATTCACATAGGCGGATGTAGTGTTCCAACTACCGGCTGAAATTTTTTGTTTTTGACACAAGAGTGTAGGCATATATGTGAAACTACTAAAGTTTTAATAGATATTAGTTTTATGAGACAATAATCATAATTTCTAATGGTGCAGTGAGTTCAGAGCTAAAAACCTTAAGGTCGAACTCATCATGTTTACATCGTGGATCCACCTCTGACTATTCATTCTTGATTACATACTCAAACAACAAAAGCAGCAAGGAATTATTTAAGCAACCACAACTACACCCGCTATCAGTAGAATCAACACTAGTAACATCAGGAAATAATCTTGAGCAAAAAGCCAAATGGCCCCCATATCCTATCAACCAATTCCTAACTACACACCAATACTCCACGAGATCCTATTTCACTTTAAACTGTCCCAAGTAATCTCCACATTCGACCATCATTCAATCAGCACATTTGTTTAATAGGTAGCATTCAATCAGTAATCTTAACTAATGAAGCAAAATGTCGAAAAAAGAGTTAAAAGATATACCTTTTCAAAGTTCCATTCCTGTACTTCTCCACCAGAACCACATACCCTTTATCATTTTCCCTTTAATTAAGAAGATAGAGATGATTAGTCTACAAATATGCACCATTATCAACAAACCCCCAAACCCATTCAAGCTTGGAGCTTTATTACCAATTCTGAGTTTGAAAGAAAATCAAAAGAATAAAATTTACATATACCAAGATGAGTCTTGAATAGCTTCTTCTTTGCTATTGGAAGAATCAGATTGTGGAGAAGAAGTACACAAGAATTTAAAGGGTTGAGTTCTATTACCATTATAAAGGTTGGAACATGAAAAAGTTGAGATGGGGTTGTTGAATTGCAGAGGAAACGCCATTGCCACTCTTTGAGTTTTTGAGTGAAAATGGCAAAAGACTTGTTTTTTTTTCTCTCTCTAATCTAAGTTGGACATTTTTTCTCCATTGAACCCCCAAAGTGAGTATCAAAGATTTTACAAAAATCGAATCGATCAATAAATAATATTTTAAAAAATGTTAAAATGTTTTGAATTATCATTTTAATTTGATTTTTTATTTCCAAAAACAAAAATAATTATTATGATTTTATCGGTATATATATGTGCTTTAATTATTTAGTTGTTGATTAAAGAAGTGTTAGGATATAAAGAAATAAAGTGATAAAAGTTTATATATTTTTAATTAAGGATGATATTTATTAGGCAAATACATAAATATGTCATTTACTTAGGTTTTACATTATATTTATGTCCTCTAACTTAGAAAGTATACAATGAGACTAAAAAAATTTGTATGAACTTGAATAAATAGGTGCACGTATCATAACTCCGATATGGCATCTTACATATTCATTTGTATCCTACGTGGTGTCCTGCATGTATTATGTTACGTAGGACTTATTTGTCTAGTTATTCGACTTTTATATAAATTTAATTATCTATTTGTGCTCTTTTAGAATGTTTTCATTCTCCTTTATAAGGAAAAATTATTATTTCAAAATTTTATCATATCAAACAAAGCAATTTAAGCAATAAAATATACTCATATAACCCACACAACAACTAAAAATTAGAGCTTAAATGCATATTTAGTAGGGTGTTATACGAAAGAGATGAAATAATCACAAACCACAAACCCTAGATTTTTAAAAACGATTACACAAAGGAGTTTGATAGGTAAAACTCCTAGTTAGGGTGTCTAAGTAAATCATGCATATAAAAAACTTTAATAAAGGATTGAAGATGACTTAACCTTAAATAATCATATATGTACCTTACAATCTTTGTTAAAAGCCTTTGATTCATACTGTTGTCTTTATTTTTTATTTATATTGTATTTGTATAGTTCTTTTAGTTGTTAATGATTTTATTTTATAAGTATTATGTAAAGTTATATTATATCCTTTTACACTAATAAATTATTGGAAAAGTCATATATTTATTTTATAAGCATTTTCTTATTGATTAAATAAAAAATTAAACCGTTTGAAAAAGTCAATTAGCGCATTCACTTCGTCATCTCAATCTCGTTTGTGCAATGGGGTAGAAAAGATTTTGCTCTTCTTGCCTTGAGTAGTGGACAATGTATCATCAATAAAAAATATCTTATTGATTAAGGGTATTTAAAAATTGAAAATTCATAATACGTAATTTAAAATGAACAGACCAATCGATACATAACTCTATGTAAACGGGCGGACACAGAAGAGTCCGACCCCGTATTGTACTTCATGCATGCTTAGTGATACGCTTGCAAAAAAAAAAGAAGTTTGTTTTACATAAATTTTTAATCCAAAAAAGAATTGGAAACAAGTTGCGTTTGTTTGGCGATGAGTCAAATAAGTAAAAAATACTCAAATATTGTTATTAGTAGTCTTTCTAATGCTACTATATTACTTTTTTCTCATAACAAATAATACTTTTGAAATTTGTAATAAATGTGAATTATTTGAAATGTATAATAATATTATACATGTCATATTTTTCTATCATTACAAAAACTTGGCATTAAATATTTTAAAATAATTTTTTATATTATATCGTTTGAAATTTAAAATTATAAATAATAATTTTCCTAACAAAGTAATACAAAGAAATAATGTAACTATTTCAATTTAAGTTGTATAAATTAAATTTTTATGCCATAAATATTTTATATAAAGCCCGTAAATTATTTGGCTTTTTAAAAAAATAGCACACATGATAAATCCTTTTAACATTAGAAGTATATTTTATAAATCTTTTTCAAGTTGAAATTGACCGTTACGTTTGCGCAAACCTTTATATAAACTAAACCCTACGTACCAATCTCCACATTGATAACACCAAAGATTAAAATTAATGATGAATTTACTACTTGATATCATCAATTGGTGGAAATTAATGATGAGTTTACTACTTGAATCGTTCCCCATTAGTGTTACCAATTGGTGGTACGATATCAACAAGTCCATTCAATGGCAACATGGAATTTTCTTCACTCTTTGTGCTTTGTATTCTCTTGTTTCGATTATCGCACTAATTCAAGTAATAAGGATCCATATAAGGATACCTTTATATGGTTGGTCAACACAAAAAGTGTTTCATATGATGAATTTTGTTGCGAATGGTGTTGGTGCAATCGTTTTTGGATTACATAACAATTTTTTTATGTTACGTTCAAACGTGCTTATGAATTACGCGATTTTAGACCTACAAGGGTTGGTTTTCTTTACAACATTCACACACCTTGTGTGGTTTTGGGCTGATGTATATTACAAAATTCGATGTTTTCCAACGAGTAAGCTCAAATTTTGGTATATTTTGATAAATTGTGTGATCTACTTGATTCTGGGTTGTATATGGATTTGTATCGGGATGAGTACTAGTTACACTGTAGTACTAGTGAAATTGTTGTTCATTAGGAAGATATTTGTAGCAGTCATACCGTTTTTTGCAATTTTGGGCGTTTTAATCTATGGTGGGAGATTATTTATCACGGTACGTCGATATTGTGATGAATGGATAGGTGGAAAAAAGAAGCTTATTGAGCATGGATATGTGAGTAGTCTATGTTTCACATGTTTCTCTATTAGATGTTATCGTGTTTTCATCGTGATTTGGATCATCCTGTGTTGAAAATGATATATTATATGGTCGTAGAGATTCTTCCATCAGCTCTTTTCATATACATTCTGCAAAAATTGCCTCGAAGAAGAGTATCTGCACAATACCATCAAATCATTTAGTGGAGTAATAGTGATAGTACGATTCTCACTTCTCATGAGCTAAATGATAAATAGACAAGTTGTGTGATGTACTTTTGAGGAACTTAAGTTGTTGATTAAAGAATTGTTTTTTCTAATTTATGTTCCATTTTCTTATAAAGAGTCTTGATATTAGAGAATTTGTTTGCATTTAAACACCACTATTCACATCAATTTTGTTCTTATGTTTGAACTTTGACTAATTGATTACAATGTGAAAATAAAACAAGGATTTAAAGGAGACTGCAAATTGCTTCAAATGCAGAAATGAATGAAGTAATTATTATACATTCAAATGAGCTCTAAAAATAACAGAGATATTTGTTGTCACAAGGAAGCCAACCTAACTATTCTGGCAACTAAACCTGGTTTTACAAAATGAAGCTCTAGGTAATTACTGGAAGCTAAGTTTCTTGCTCGTCGAACCAATGCTTCAAAATGACGAGATCAATTATCTCCATGGAATCAGATCTACTTGGGAATTATTCTGCCTTTTGCCTGCGGTTTTCCTCTATAATTTTCTGGAACTCTTCCTCACTTCTTGCTAGCAAACGCTTCACGGTGTCAAAAGTAGTAAGCCTAATGCTGTACCAGAAAATGAAGACAAACAAAGAATCATATGTTAGGCAAGAATGTTAAATATTAGCAATGATCACTGTACATGGTAACAATAGTAATCCCTTTTATGGTTCCCTTTGGAGAACAACGAGAAGAAAGAAAGTCATATCGTTTTTTATTTTGCAACACAGATATGATAGTCCAAGTGAAGAGAGACCCCTAAAAAGGCAATAGCAATGAGAAAACTGCACCTGCTATTAGGGAGAGTTTTCAGTGCATTGGGAACAAAACCCCTGTAGAGTCCAACTATACCATCACGGGCCACTATACCTGCAATAGAAAAGGGTGACATAATCAATTAGAAAGTGTATTAGGTTGAACATTTTTCTCAGTTCAGAGTAACTCAGATCCCCTCTCAAGTTATTTTTTCTATTTTGATAACTAATTAATCCCTGAGGGTCAGTTGCACACGGTTCCAAACATGACCGATAATGGGTCCGCCCCTCCACCATTCTCCACTTAAATACCAGGTTTTTGTTTGCCACAGGATTCGAACCTGTGACGAGCTGCCTATTCACACATAACATGTTACACTCTTACCAGTATACCAAACCCTGGAGGCAATCCCCTCTCAAGCTTGTTAAACATGGACTTCAAAAAGCACAATACAATCAATCTGTCACTGAATGTTAAATGTTCGTTTTTCCCCAAAAAAATGAAGTTTAAAGTTAACAAGTTTGAAGAATTTACATCTTGAAATCAAAATGTCATCAAATTTTTGACAATTTATGCTCCTTGATACTTTACCCTTGAGGATTTGAAGCACAGATACATCAGAAAGTGGAAAATTGTTTTGTTAAAGCTGCTCATACATAAAGCTATTTCATTTTTCTCGCTCATCCCATTTATTATGACCTATGTTGAGTAGAGCTTAAGAGAAAACTGATCTGTTATATCTAACTTTGGTAGATATTTGTCAGCATTATTGGATGATGTGATAGGTGTGAAGATGTTAGTTAAAAACAAATAATATATAATTTGATTCTGAAATAGGTGGACCTTACCATCTAAGAAACGAACCATATTTTGGGGCAAACTATGAGGAAGCAATCCAAACAAAAAAAGGGGGCTAAGGAGCATATTAATGCATCCCTTTAAAGCAAGGCTGGGGTATGGGCATTGTGAAGCTAGTACCACAGTGTATCTATGGCTACAACAGTGCACCCAAAGGTAGACACTACACTTTAGGCCGAAAGCCAAGGACCCCCCCTCCCCTCCCCCCTATAGTAAACTAGGAAGAACTTGGACAGCAGGACTTGTGAATCAGGATCATGCAAAACGTTGATCACCGGACATGTGAACCAACCAAGCAAGACAAAAATATGGTTTAGGTTAAAAGAACTAAGTATAGAAAGATGGAACAAAAACAATCCTGCCTTTAGATAATCTGTTTACTGAGTCTAACATATTAGCATTTGTTTATTACATTTACATTCAGTTTTTTGGATTCTTCTTTAGAAAGTGCAATTCCTATAGTTTTAAACACCTTAAACTAAGAAGTTCTTCAGTCGATAATATGAAATTTGCAGATTAAGTTGATTATTTGTCACTGCTTCTGTGGACTCATCAGTGAAAGGAAGACAAACACAGTTTGACAAATTCCATATCTAGTTACAAAAAGATATACAAATATTGACGATCTTTTAGAATTCTTTACCTGGGAAGGCATCAAAAATTGTCATATAAGGTGTACCCTTCATTTGCATTTGCCTTCTCACTGTGTCCAATGGATAGCACAATAGAGTGGCAATAGTTGCTGAAATCAAACCTGTAGCCAGAGTGGCTTCAGTTCGTTTCTGATACTCTTCTGGCAAAGCTTTTTTCACCCTGACATTCAGAGAAGTATCATTTAGGTTACAGTAACACCAGGACTCTGTCTTCAGATGATATAGAAAAAGGATCTTTAAAAGACCATAGGCTCACAAGTCAAAAACACAAAAGTTCACAGCAATATATGGAGCTATTCCAATGAGCGAGGGCCCGAGACCATTATAAAAGGATGCAAAGCCTTCCTCTTTCAGCATGTTTAAAGCAACCTGTAAATAATTGACATAAAGATTCAGATATGTCCTGGCGTCACAAATTCTGAGTTATCCGATTCTTACCTCACTCATTGTTTTATATCCAGGGTCTACTGCTAATCTCAACCTGAGAACATCGAGTGGGTAGGTTACCTGACATAAAATAAACAAGTTAACCGTCTTGAAGACAGATGAAAAAGAGAGTAAATAACAACACAAAGAAGAGCAGGCAAATGAATAATTGAGATACTGATGGCCCCTCATTCTCATCCCTGCAGGGGAAGGGAGATCAAATGGAAGGTTTCGAATAAATCTTATAAAGCAAACAACAGTGCTCAGATCAGTAATATTACTGTGATGACAATAAGCACTAAGTTTCTGCCAGGTCTATTTCACTTGTGCAAACATAATTGCAAAAATTATATGCCAAATGGACAATTTAGAAAAACTATATGGTGTTCCCATAATGCAAACTTACAAAAGTAGAAGTCATGCCAGCACAAGCACCTGCTGCTAGTCTTCCAATGACAGAAAGCTCCCCATCCTTTCCTTGAAAAAGTTTCTGTAAATAGAAGTGTCAAATCAACTTCATTCTAGCCAAACAATCAAACCAGTGTTAAAGTTTTCTCCAAAGATGTTTCATTACCTTGTACGTTTCATAAGCAAATAACTGCACCGCACTATAAGGTATGATCCGTATCACCTAAACCATTAAAAGAAAATAATCAACTTGATGTCTTAAAAAAGCAATCACCAAGAATCCACTAGAAATGTGACTCTGGGAAAATGGTGCAAATACCTGTGGAAGGTTTCCTTTCCAATATCCTTTGATACCTTCCTCCTTCCCAATCAATGCAAATGCCTGCACAATCCAATTTCAGGCATATATCAAAAACTTGAGAATCATATGACCCAATGATGGCGTCTATGAGTGGGAATTATCACCCTATGGGAGGTTTGCACAAAAGACATATAGAAGAAAAAATACCATAATGGCTATATACTAACTAGGATAACCCAAAAGGAGAGCCCATTTAGCTGATAAACCCATTACTAGGACCCTTAGAAACTCAATGTAGTCTTTTAAACTTTTTAACCGCTGAGGGACTCAATTGCTTCACAACATATAACATTACAGAGAGATTCAAAGGTTTATAACCAAGTAAAAAGAAGTAATAAAATAAAATAAATAGGCAGAAAGTCTTCTACTATTAGATTTCTATATTCATCATACTGTCTATCATCCAAAAAAAAAAAACTTTCTACAGACGGAAAATGAGGCATATACCAAATTCTACATTTTTTTAGTCGGTGGTAGAAGTCAGTTATGAATGCTGACTGACAAGTTGACTGGAATTCTACCCTCAAGTGAAGACTGTAAGGGAGAGCCTTCGTCTTTCCCAGTAAAATAGTTCCTAACTATGATACAGCAGATCACTCCTTTAGTCTTTCGGATCAATCATCATAGCTAAAACTCTGTACAATATAAACTACAGAGAATAGGAAACACCAGACTTCTGGGAACTCAATAACATAGCTTGTCTATGTTGTATATCTCAGAAAGTAACAACAAGCAACACAGCAATACATACCTCAATGAATCCGATTCCTTTCTTTGCAGCTTCTTGCCCAGCTCTTAGTCCATGTGTCTTGCAACCAACACGAAAATAAGGAAGAAATAAGCGCAAAATAGAAAATATGAAAGTGGTTGTGGTTAAAGACAAAATGCATTTCAAACTCAGAATGCCATAGAGTCACCATATGAGTAACCTGAATCGATGGGCGTATGAAGGATTTTAACAAGAAAAGGTGTCATCATCTGAAGATAATAGCAAGTGCAAAGTACAAAATTGAGGCAATGTATATGAATATAAGTATGAGCTTAAGATTTCCATATCGGCTATACAACTGCATAGTGAGAAAGGATGCTTGCAATATGTCAAGTTCCAACACAGAAACTTTTGTTATTCTCAAACAGAGCTCACACCAGAAGAGTGGTGAGACGAAGAGGTGTAACCCCAAAAATCATTCTTGCACCGATACTTATCAGGCAAGTCATTCTTTCTCCTCCTCATAGTACAGCAAAATCTGCAGTAATATGCACATTGTTCCTTTTAATGTTAACAGGTCAATAGCATAACCACATTGCAGCTGAATGCAAGCCCATTCTCTACCTCTTCCAGAGACGTGAAAGACTGGACAAATAAGCTATTTTGGGATTTTAAGCTACACATTCAGGAATATAGCATAAGATGGCAAGTGTAGAAGTTGACTGAAAGTACTCCAACAAAGGATGTGGCCTTTTTGGCTACCATTTCAGAAATCATAGAAGTTTAAAGGTTATAAAGCCTTGAAAGAGTAATTCAGCAAACTAGCCATCCTTCAAAACTATGAAAAAATAACGCAAACATTTGCAAACGCCAGTAATACCAAACAGAATTCATGTGAATTGAAGTACCATCGCACTTGGCCGCAACTAAGTCATTATTCTTATCAGTGGATGACTTATCTGGCCATAACTCATACATTTTATCCAGTCGACTAACCAAATATGCTCCAATGTCATTTTGCATTCCACTCTTAGTTACTGTAGTTCAATTTGTACATTTTGTTACAGTCTACTACTTAGAAAGTATCATTAAATCCATAAGAATCCTCTATATCTATTGTCACTTCATCCAGTCTATTTTTTCTTGTTTCACTTGCCAAGATTCAAACTTGTTCTTGCCACACAACCCATGCTATACTCTCTTTATTTTTGAATCAAAGCCCTCGGGGATATTCTCTCCGATTTATCGGGACCCATTTATTTACTTCAAAAAGTGTATAAAATGATTCTGTATGGAAAATATTTTCTTCAGTTGAACAAACAAAAGACTAAAATTCCAATCCCGAAGTAAACAAACCTTATCAACAAATTAAGCCTGAAGTTCAACTAAGAAAATTCAATCATCCAAGGAAACAGCAGCAATATGATACATAAAAACACCGAAAAACATTACTCCCTCCCATTTCATTTAAATTGTCTGAAATTCTTTTCTAATTTCAACAAAACTCTTTAATTTCAATTTTACACCCAAAGGGGTTTAACCACCACAAGAATTTAAGATTAAAAACGGAAATTTTGAACCTTCTAAAAACCCCACGTCAAAGTCAAAAAAAAGGGCAAAACAAATGAAAATGAATGTACAATTACATAAAGGGGTTTCATAAAAGAACCTGCATGAGGAGCTTGATACGGTCAAGAGGTGCAGTAACAGATTTTGCAGCGGCACCAGCAATAGCACCTGCAGCAAACAATGCAGCTTCTCTGGGAATCAAAGCAACCATAGCCAAAGGGTGCTTTAAAAGCTGAGTTGTTGTAGGATGAAACCCTTTAAAGGCTTTTTCATCCAAATTCTCCGATAACGAAATACAACCAAAATTACACCCAATTTCTTTAGAAAAACTAGCAGAACCGACAAATTTGTTCTTCCATTGTTGTGATGGGTAAGATTGAATACTGGTGTTGGACAATTCAAGAGCCGGAATGTCCATGGATACCAAAACGGGTCGGTTCTTCCTCATGGTAGATACAGAGGAATGAAGCTTTTTCTTCCTCTGTTGTCAACAAGATAAGGGGTTTTAGAAAGGAAACTTTGGGTTTATTTTTGTTTCTATATATATATATTACTCGCTTCATTCGCTTTTAATTGTTTTTTTTAGAGTCAAATTATAAGAGCTACATAATATTTTATCATGTATTTTTTCTTGTAAAAATTTGCAATTACTATTTATATTTTTCGTATAATTTTTTAATATCTAAATTTTTTGTTTAAAATATTGAAGAAATATAATCACATTTAACTTTAAAAATTGATCAAATTTGAATTGATTCAAATCTAAACGTTATCATCGTCTCAAGCTTAACACTTAAATTTTAGTCTAACTATTAAAACCCTAAAGACCAAGTTCATCAAAATATATTATTTTATTTGTTATCTACCCTACGTCACACTAAATAGTCATATTTTCTCTTAGTTGAATCACTTTATTCGTGTAATGATAACTCAAGTTAACTGTTTTGTTTAATTTGATTGATTTTAGAAAATTTAAAAACGTAATAAATTAATTTAATTTTGATTTGAATCAATAATCGATCCAAATCGAACCATATACATCCAACTAGTACCCACATATTACGAATTAGCTACCAAACAGCCTCTTAATTTTTTGAAAAAAATAATCAACCAAATAAAATACTTATTTGTGCTATCTTCAACATGCAAATATGAAGTGTGTTTATGATTGAGGCAAATGAAAATGGTACTAGCTAGTCTAAGAATTTAAAAATTCAAAAAAAAACCAAGTCGATCCCTGAATAAGAATCTTCCAACTCATCCCAAAAACTATTTTTTTTTTACCATTTATTAAATTAAAAAAAAATAAATGAGGCAAGGTAAAGTGAGTATTTTATTCATCAAATGTGCAATAAAGTTGTTCATTCTTGTTACCTAGTGAGTGCCCACTATATTCAAGCTCATAGATCTTTCAAGATCAAATCATTTTTAAAAAAATAATTATAAACGTGTCTGTCTCTTCACTTATTTATAACAAAAAAAAAAAAATTGGGATCAATGAGTGAGAAAAGATTTGATTTTGTAATTTTTTTAAAAACAAAATTATGTTATCTTTTATAAGATATTTTGAATTTTACGCATTAGAAATTTAATTTGACATTTTCTTTTATTTATTTTGTGATTGGTTATAAGAGAGTATTTAGAGAGGGGGTGTTAGGACATAAACTATTGACAATATGTTTAAATATAGTATTTATTGTAGAATAATTATTTATTTAGTTTTAATAGATCTTATATTCATTTAGCATGCCTAACATCAACTTATTCTAGTCGAGTGCCTTGTGGCGCCTTTAACGATGAGAGAAGGCAATACCAAAGAAAATAACTCAAGGGTACTGACTACTCCATCAATTAAATTTCGTTGCGTAAGTAAGGATGTGAGTCATCATAATCTGAACTTGAAATCTTTCGTAGGCTCATCTCGTCAATTGGCATTTCGATACTGACATTCATAGATAGTCGACATATAAAAGGAAGAAACCTAACTCAGTTCAAGTTGGACATATGAATTGTGGAAGTTCCGACTCCATCATTTAGGTTAATTGCAAGGATCTTATAGTCTTCGGTATGTAGGGTCCATACCCATTGTAGATAAACATAGCAAAAATGATTTAATTTTGTTTGTTGATTATTGTTAAAGTCACACAAATGTTGCAACAAAATTCAAAGCTCACCATATGTCTTTTTTCAACTAAAATCTTACCAAGATTTCCACATAGGTAAAAATATTGAAATCTTGTGTTTCTTGTGACGTCATTGGTGACATCATTAAGAGTAGATTTTCCTATAAAAAGAAGAGCTCTTGCTCCTTTCCAAATACACCAAAAAAAAATTACTAATGATATAAAAGAATAGTGAGGTATCATATAAGAAAATAATCTGTGACGAAAAAAACAGAGTGTGAGCGGAATTGTAGCGAGGCGGAAAAATTAAAAGAGTTTCATTTCTTTTGAATGTGTAGTGGTCTTTGGAGTTTTCCTCTTACATACAAATGTAAAACCCTTACTATAGTGATACTCGTTGCTCCTCACAGGTCATGGTTTTTCTTTTATCTATGAGGGTATTTCACCTAAAATCTTGGTGTCATTATTTCTCTTTTATTCTCGTTGATTAACCGTATTGTTGTGTACCGCATTTGTTGTCTTTATTACCGCAAATATTATTTGTGTTACGGATTTATTCCCAACACGGTAGTTGCATCATATCCCAATCCATTGGACAATAAAGCTGAACAATTGTACGTGACATAAATCTATAAATAAACCCTCAATATTTATAACAATAATTATATCGTGTAAAATTTGAATTGAACCGCAAACATATACATACATTAATGGAAATATTCATTTATTCTTTTGAAAAAAACTGTAAATAAAAGTAAAACTCTTACAACCAGTTGCTATTACAAGGAACTCTCAGCAACTATGGAATAAACACATATATAAACATCATTGACTTATATATGATCATAATTCAATCATACCATTTAGTAACACACAAAATTGAAATAATACATTCAACTCTTATAATGATATGATTCAATTAAACCCAATTATATTCCCAATCAAAGAATAAAATATGCATCCATTTTTTGATTAGGATGATCATCAAACTCTCATGATTCCTTCACTTGATGAGCCCAAATTGACACCATTTGGTTGTTCTATACAAAAACAGAAAAAATAAATTAGTGATATATATTTTTTTGGCGGTGTTTAATTACTCTCGAACTATAATGAAATTCTATTGTTCCTTCGATTATTTAAATTATAGTAGGTTAAATTGCACCATAAGTATAGTAAAATTAGACGGAGAGCTTACTTTGTGGTATGTTGGATACGAAAAAACATGCACCAATGACAATGTAACAAAGCAAGAGGACTAATCCTTTAATATAGTGAGATGTTCCATCCTGCAATATTAATTAATCGTAAGTATCGACTAAATCTATATTCATATCAGATATGATAAAATTTTGTATTTACGTCAAGAATATTATTTCGGGGGGTAAAAAATTCTCAAATCGATTTAGTACGAAGAGTCACTCGAATACTATTTTCATTACGAGCCTTATTAATTCTAAAGTGCTATATGTTAAAATATATATTGTGACCTAAAATTACCTGTAGAGTGAAAGCTGTGACAATTATTGCTAAAGCAAGGGAGCCTGTCTCAAGAAGACTAAAATCAAGATCCATTCTCACACCAATAATCCATGATACAATCACACACAAGGGAACCTGAATAATTAAAAAAAAAAAGATAATTACTATCAGTTTAAAAAAATGAAAAATATAACAAGTACTTAATTTAAAACAAATAGAAATGAAGAAACATATTACATTGTAGTAAAAAAAAAAATTACTATCGGTATATAATTTAACATGTTGTAACAAATAATTTGTCTTATTTATCATGTGTTTCTCCTATTTACTCGGTATTTGAGTATATATTTAAATGATCGTAAAAATTCTATTATACATGATGTATAAAAATTAAACTCGAAACAACTCGAGTAAGTTACTTACCACAAACATGGCAATTTGTGTTGCTGAACCTAAGGCAACTCCCAAAGAAATGTCCTGCATTATCCAAAATTAAAAATCCCTTTACTATAAGTTCTCTTATCATTATTATAAAAAAAAATAAACATTTGCTGATTTAATTATTAGAAATTGTACATACCAACTTGTTCTTGAAAGCAAAAATTATAGCCCCAGCATGTTCAGCAGCATTTCCAACAATTGGTAATAAAATAACACTGATGAAACTCACTGAAATTCCCCAAGAATTTGATGCTGCCTATTTAATTTAAATTTTTAAAAAATAAATTGTCAAGACTTTATTTAATTAAAAAAAAAATCCCTCCTATTTTACATATATTTAAAAATTATATATATAAAAAGAAAAAACTGACCTCAATGGTACCAACAACATATTCAGATAATAGAGCAATAAGAATAGTCATTCCAACCAACCATGCAAATGCACTCCAAAAACTAAGCACTGCTTCTTCATCTTCGATATCATCACCTTCATTTTCTTCCTGATTAATTTCGAAAGAATTTAGCTTATATACTTTTGATATTATTATAAATATTTTTTTATCAGAATCGTTAAATTACACGATTCCTAATTAAGATATAACTATCAGAGGGACTCAAAAATTTTAAAAAAATCATTATGGAAATGAAAAAAATTACTCTTTTTTTAAATTTCACAATAAAACATGATTGGACACTTACTGGCTTGTGCGTCGAAAAGTTGTCGGTGAGTCCACAATTGGAACACAAGATAACCAAACTTAGCAAGAAGCATAACAATGCAGCTAACTCTTGATAGATTCAATGTTGCTTGTGCTGTTATTGCTGCTGATTCTCCAACTCCAGCATAACGAAACATCAAAGGCAACACGTGACATAATAATCCCAATAATAAAAGTAGAGAGTTCACATCTGCTTGTTTCTGTTTTAATCACACAAAAAATTAACATCTCAATCTACGTGACACAGTTGAAATATCACTATGTTATAAAATAAATAACTAAATTACTTACCCTATCATATTTTTGTTCCTTTGATATATTTGCAATACCACCACAAAAGAGTGAAGTGCCAAGAACCAAAAGAAGATTCGAAAGAATAGATCCCAAGAGTGAATATTTTACAACATCCACTTTATGTTCGATTAAAGCAAATATTGCTATTATAAGTTCAGTGGCATTTCCACATGTTGCATTTAGAAGCCCTCCAACTGATTAATGCAACAAATTAAACAAACAATAATTAGAATTTTTTTTTAAAAAAAAAATAATCTAATTTATATGTCAAGTAACATTAAACTAGCTAGAGGTTGTTGTTAAATTGTTTATTGATTCGAAAAAAACAAAGGAATTTCCAATTTTATGTTTGTTCAATTTAATAGTGAAACTACCTAGACCTGGTCTATCCAATATTTTTCGTCGAAAAATTATAATATCATATTAAATATCTTTGATGGAAATTCATAATTTTTATACTGATATTGATTTATTTCATAACGTTAGTCGTGGTCCTTCACTATATTATATAAACAAAGGATTAAAAATCTCTGTGTTTTGTGGATTAAAAAAAAGCCAACAAAAGATTAAAAACTAAATAAATGGGGAAGTACCTGTTGGACCAGTAAAAAAAGCTATTTGCCTACAATTCAAATCAATCAAAAATGTTAATAATAGGTGATTTAGTAATAATCAATTCAAATCGACTCATAAATAATTTTAATAATCAAATTATACCATACAAAGAAACAATTTAACTTACTCTGTCAAAAAGCTGACACGTTCAGCCAATGGAGTAAGTCCAAGTAAACTCAATCCAAAAACCCATGACTGATATAATATAGAAAAATAAAATGTCAGTATTATAAAATAAATTAATCAAGAAATCACAAAAAAATATTCTCAGATTCACATCTTTCAACGGATCTTTTAGTTATTCAAAAAAAAGAAAAAGAAAACAAATTGTGTTGTTAAATAAAATAACACTTTTAAATTATATTATGTATTCAATTAATGCATGGCGGGATTCATTCAAATTTCCATCACGTAGTATATAATAGAAGATTAAAATTAATTTATATGCATAGAAAGTAAACGTTGAGTTGAATCCCTTTAATTTTTTTTGTATAATATTTTTTGCTCCACTATTTGTCCTCACGTGTGTACCTGATTCGTTTTAAAATTAACCTAAACGCATGAATATTCATTTCATTTTATTCAAAACAACCTCCCGTCCACTCTAATACCATATTAAATTGTGCAACCATCGAAATAATCACACAATTGAATGTAAATTAAAGAGAACTTACTCTTCCAAAGTTTTTGTAATGAGCAATAATGGCAATAGGTATGGCAATGAAGAGCACAAAAAGCTTAGTTCCCAAAATGACCTCTTGAATATTAGCAAGAACATCTCTAACAATGGCACAAGGTACTTTCCTTACAAGGGTTAGATCAGACTTTTTCCTAAGAGACGAAGACGATACGTTGTGAGCCGTTCGTCCATGGCTACGACCATGCCCATGTCTCATCTCTTTGCTTAAAGGCTTAATATTTCCATTTTCTAAGAGCCATGTTTCTGCTGCTGGTGATGATGAAGCCATTCTTTTGTTTTGTCTTTTTCTTTGGAAAATAACTTATTTTGGTTTTATATTGAGATAACTCTCATCTTGTATGAGTATGGGGTTAGCATAGGATATATATAGTAATTTGTCACATGCAAGAAATTTCCAAGAAGTTTCATATTTTGTTTCTCATTTGTAAGGTATTTGATATTTTATAATATCGAGGCTCGACTAAATTTGAATTCAGATTGGAAAGTTTTAGAGCTTTAATTTCTAAAATAGAAATTTTTAATAACTCATTTGATTAGTTATCTAAACTTTCACCTTCTGTGTGTGTTCAAAAATAATAAAAGTTCAACATCGGTAGTGTTGGATTTTGCTAGTCTAAATACAGGATATAACAGATGGTTAATGAGATGGATAGACTCTTTATAAGGCTCGGACCATCTTCATCTCTTTGAGCTAACTTTTAGGATGTAAGTTAGACACATGATCCAAAGTAACGAGATAGTAAAACATTATAGTTATATTACCATTTATGAAACTTTTTAAATATTGGGATGTATTTGAGCCTTTTGAATTATTTAGGGGTATGATTCATGTTGTTGTACATGATATATGTATAAATTAATTTGATAGTTTAGAGTAAGTTTAAATCTTTTGTTTGTCTACGTCGTTTTAGTGCGACACTTGTCATATCAATCTGGATAGTTATTTGTGGAGGGACGTATTTTAAAATAAAGATAACGATAAGAAATTTAGATCAAAAGGTTCACGAAGGGAAAATATAAAATGAATCAAATACTTTAGAAATAAATTAAATTGAAACATTTTCTCATTTACCAGATTTTTTTGATGTGGTAAAAATTTGATTTATTCATGGTTTTCTAAAACATATATATATATATATATATATATGTATATATATATATATATATATATATATATATATATATATATAGGTGAAGAAAAAATAGTCGTTGAAGGTGTTTTGATTAAGTTAAATAAGAACTCTTAAAGAGTTTTTGTTATTATAAAATATATTAGTAAAGCCTTTCTCCAAGTGTTTAAATCAACCAATGTAACTAATCATAGTTAATTAATTAAATAAAGTACAAATATACATTAATTAATTATGATTTAGTAATAATTCGGTATATCTCAACCTATGTCATATATTTATTAATTAAGTGTTTACTCCAAAAATAAAAATAACATTTTGAGACCCTGAAATAAAAATAATATACTAACTTTAATAGAATAGAATCGCAACATAAAATATAGGAGGTCACATGTTCAAATTATAAAAATAATTTCTCGTAAAACATATAAAATCATATACAGTAGATATCATGTAAGGTCCCGCTCTTTTTTTTATTGACCCATACTAGAACTTAATTCATCAATCTGTCTAAAAATTTTAGAGTAGAGGAAATAATGTTGAAGTTAGGATTAGTGTTTGAATAAATAGTGTAGGTTGCTCTTTTAAGGAGGTCAAGTAAAATAATTTAACAAGTGATAATGTGTTTCTTGACATTTTATAAACCACATTCTTCAATTTCAAGTCCAAGTCAACCAGTCTCATGACATAGCTTAACTTCCATTATTAAATAAAGGTAAAGAAAATATGTTTCATTAATTCAAACAAACTTTTACTTTATGGTAAAGAAGAATCCATATAAAAGAATACAAATGTAGGTGATAATCAAATCTATTTATCACCATGTCATTGATCTAAAAAAAATAGTTTATACACATCACATGTCATGAATAAAGGTTTATTACTTTTTAGAAGCAAAAAAAAAAGAGTACTTTCACACTCTCCACCCCACACCCCACACTCTAAAAAAATGATATTAGAATTTTGTGATCTAAAAAAATAGTTTATATACATCACATGTCATCATGAATAAAGGCTTATTACTTTTTAGAAGCAAAAAAAAAAAAAAAGAGTACTTCACACTCTCCACCCCACACCCCACACCCTAAAAAAAAATGATATTAGAATTTTGTGATTGACTCTTTGATTAAAAGTTTTTATATCAATATGAATGTCTAAGGACGTATGTTAAGACTTTTTTGACTTTTATAAAATGTTTGTGTTGGTAAATATTAGATTAATGAATATAATTGGGATATCATATAAGTGAGATAAAAGAGAACTTATATAGATTTCATTCACTTTGTATCAACGATATTATTGAGGACATGTACTTTTCGTATTCACTTTATACTTATTGTAATTTTTTTTGCAGGTTTTGTTCTAGGTCCTAGTGCACTAGATGCATTGGGATATTGAGGAGACTTTTATTTTAAAATGCTATACTATTATCATATCAATTAATTCAGTAAGATTTGATATATTAAAGTTTGATTTTGATTTTTACGATTCGATAAATCAGTTATCATAGTCTGTCAACTTTAACTTATATATATTGTATAATAAAAAGTTATGACTTTGAGTTTTTCAAGAAATATCTCAATTATATCATACTAATAGCTTATACATGTAAAAATATTCAAAATAAATGATAAACAATACTCTTTGTTAATCAATCGACCTAAAAGAACATTAATCAAAATTTCAACATCTAAATAGTTGGTGTTACTATTTTATACACTTGCTACTATTATATAGTTACATATATATGAATTTTATCTATAACTATATTAATCTTGATATGGTATTCAATATTTCAATATTTTTTATATATATCAAATATCAAACTTTTTGAAAATGCATACCAAAAACTATACCAACTACCATAATATTCAAACCACAATATTAAATATTTTAACTTTAATATGATATTTCATATTCAATATCTACCGATTATCCCCCCTCCCCCCAAACAACAATTGGCTTCTTTCATAAAATAATCAAGCTCTACCAATAATGTAGTTTTCAAAATTCTAACAACTATATCAACCAAAAATCATATATAAGTAAGGGATCTTCAATTTCTACCCTACATATTAAAAAGAAAAGAGAAAAACGTAAGAAAAAAAGAGAGAATAAAAATTCTAGCAAATATATAAGAAATTTTTTTACGAATAGCTAATATAATAAATTTAATTATGCTTCATGCTATAGTTTTTATATTTATGGGTTATAGCTACAACTTAAGGTGTCTCGATTGTATAATTCGCGAGTATATTTGTATAATTGAGTTACTTTTGTATAAACTCGAAGTAATAAATTTATACAAATACAAACCATCTGAATTTTAAACAGTATTAAAAATTATATTTAAGAAAATTGCATTATACAAAGTTATACAAATTATATTATAAAAATTCTAAATTATACAAACATATGAATTATACAAACTCAAAACTCGGCCCACTTAATTATCACTGAATGTTAGTTACGAGCAGGTATTAACTAAAAATATAGCTATCACGACAAACTATCTAGTATATATTTGTTTATAATTTCTCCTATATAGAGAAATAATATGCTAAACTTGTTATTGGACAAAAATAATGCAGTTTTCAAATTTTAACAATTAAATGAACCACAAATAAAATAAGTTAAAGAATCTTCAATTTCTACCACACATAGAAAGAAGACGAGAAACATGTGAGAAAAAGATGGAGAATACAAATTCTAGAGAATATTTATATACGCTAAATCTATTTACGTGGACAAAAAATAAAATATTTTAAGTGATCAAATTAAATAATAAATTGTATTTACAATTTTCTCTATTTCACCAAAAATAGAGAATAGCAAAGCTCATTATTCTGAGAACACAACATAAGTATGAGGTCATATGTACCTTAAATTGCAGAGAAAATATGTTGTTTTTTACGGCGTCTCATTATTTTTGTCTAAACGTGATGTAATGAATCATAACAACACAGTGATGGAGTCGAAAATTTTTCTAAGAAATAAAAATAATAATAAAATATCATAATTCATGACATTTATATGTAATAGGATCGAATTCACGCACGCACACTTGATGAATGAAGAACACAAAAACTTTCAAGAGAAACAGATGAGAGATCTAGAGAAAGAAAAAGAAAACTCAATATTTCGTGGTAACACTCCGTGAGTAAACTTCCACGACGGTGGGATATATTTATATTAATAACTTAAAGTATTTTTTATTACAAAGTATATATATTAATCAGACTCCACAACCTAACAATATGAACCTATAATCTATCTTAATTTTGATTCTATATTCACACCGCGTTAGATTAATCTTCTTATGTCAAATTCCACAATTTATGTATATGACTAAAACAAAGTGCTTTTGTTATATTAATTTTACGGTATAATTTTTTTTGCTAATAGGAATATAATTATATCCTTTTGGCACTATATAGCTCCAAATTCCAATCATGTTAGGATTTTAACCTTTAATTAAAGATTTTGACGGTAGATACATATATTATCCTCTTATCTAATGCAATATTAAATTAATCGAATCAATAAATTTAAAATAATTAACACTATTTATCAATAATTTTTTTATTAGTATTTTGTGGAACAGAGCCGTAACAAAGATGTAGTACGGCTTTTGTACTTTACAGCGAAACTTCCTTGAAATTTCTTCTCTAATTATTAGAGGATTATTTTTTTAATTTATTAGTTTGATATTTATATTATAATTTTAATTAATTTATATTCATCTTACATAATATAAAGTTAATTTAAAAGAAAAACTTTAACAAGATTATTTTTTATAAGATGTGAATTTATAACTTTAATTAAGGATAAAATATTTCATTCATCTCATCACAAATTTAATGACTAATTATTGTTATTTGTTGAGCAATTCCGTAACCATTTTCACTTAAGGCTTAATCATTAGCGATGTAGTACTTTTATATTCATGTATTGATTTGATTGTTTCCTAATTGGTTTATTATTATATATATAAATATAGCAGGATAAAATTTTAAAAATTATAATTTTATTTATAAAATAATATGAGGATAAATCTATTTGTTTCTTTAATTCTTCTCTCTTAATTTTTTTTCCTTATAATTCGAAATCGTTTATAACATATTTGTCGATGCGAGAGATCACATCTTAATCTCTCTATGAATATACGTAAATTTATGGAATATTTTCTTCGACTAAAAACTCAATCATTGCCTATATG